ACCTCACTTGTAATTATAAATAATGCAAATTTTTCTGCAAAGGGGTCTCACAATTTCCTGCCTTACTTCCCACAATGTTCTGGGATACATTAGATCAGATCCCAGAGATTTATCCACCTTCATATTCTTTAAGGCCTCCCGAACTTCCTCTTCTGTAACGTGAATTGTTTCTAAAACATCAAAGTTTATTTCACTGCATTCTCTAAACTCCATTTCTTTCTGCACAGTAAAAACTGAAAATATTCATTTAGTATCTCATCTCCTGGGGTTCAACACAGACAACCTTGATCTTTAGGAGGCCCTGCCCTCTCTCTAGTTACCCTCTTGCTCTTAATGTATTTGTAGAATCCTTTGAATTATCCTTAACCTTATCTGCCAATGCTATCTCACATCCATTCTTTGCCTTCTGATTTCTTGCTTAAGAATACCCCTACACTCTATATTGATTAAGAGATTCAATTGAACCAAGTTGTCTATATCTAAAATAAGATGCTCTTTAATTCTTGACTAGAACCTCAATAAATTTATTCATCAATTGCTCCTTAAATCTTACCAGCCTTACCCTTCATGCTAACAGGAACACAATGCCTCTGAACTATTGTCATCATAGTCTGGAACACCTCCTACTTGTCAGACAACCTTTTACCTGCGAGCAGTCTACTCCAATCAACTTTTGAAAGTTCTGTCTCATACCATTAAAATTTGCCTTATTCCAATTACAAACAGAAGGCTTATCGGGTTCCTCGCCCAAAAGGGTTCCTCGCCCAAAAGGTTTAGTTTTGCTCTCTCTAGTAGGACTATCCACATAATGATAAAAAAATTCTTATGAACACATTTGACAAATTCTTCACCATCCAAACCTTCAACACTATGGTTGCCCCAGTCAATGTTTGGAAAATTAAAATCCCCAATTATTATAACCTTATTATGCTTACATATATTGGAGATCTCCCCAAGCAGCTGTTTCTCAATTGCCCACTTACTACTGGGACTTCTAGTACAATCCCATCAAAGTGATCTTTCCTTTCTGATTTGTAATTTCTACCCATATAATTTCACTGGATGACTTTTCAGAAATATCTTCCCTAGTTACAGCAGTAATGTATTCCTTAATCAAAAACACTAACACCCCCTCCTTTCTTGCCTCCTTTTCTATCCTTCCTATAGTGTCTAAAACCTAGACCATTGAGCTGCTAGTCTTGTCCATTTCTCAGGCAAGTTTCTTAAACATGCCGAGTTCATCGACCTTACCTGTAAGACCCCTTGCATTGAAATAATGGAGGAAAAGTAGAGTTAACATTTCAGGTCATGTAAGAGATAACATAAGTGATACAAATTCCTGAGGATCAGATAAATTGAAATGGTGAGGACAGTAGGGACTAAGTATTTCAAGATTTGCTCACAGGATATGATCTGGAATGAGCTGCCTGAAAAGGGGGCAAAGCAGATCCAGCAGTTGAGATAGTAGGAACTGCAGATGCTGGAGAATCTGAGATAACAAGGTGTAGAGCTGGATGAACACAGCAGGCCAAGCAGCATCAGAGGAGCAGGAAGGCTGACATTTCGGGCCTAGGCCCTTCTTCAGAAGAATCACAGGATCATCAGTGCACAAGGATGACATTCAGCCATATCTGCACCACTCCCTGAATGAGCACTGGCTCAGTGCCATTCTTCTAACTTTTCTCTATAACCCTGAATAAGTGGGTTCAATTGAGGAAATTTATTAACTATCCTCTAACTATCCATTTGCTTTATTTGGAGGTCTCAACTCATTCTGACTTGGCGTTCGTAAGTATCTGCAAGAGGTAGCCATTATTCTCTGTTGCATTTGTCTGACAGCTTGCCTTGCTGCTCATTGCTGTCACAAACCAACACAGCAAGTTATTCCTCACTCTCTTTATGTATCATGGGTGTGTTGTATATTGGTTTGGGCTGGCTTCTGTTCCTTCACAATGTGTCACCATCTAGTATTGGGTAACAAGATAAATAAACGATTGTATAGTTAAGGATCTTCCAGACAGCAGTGATTACAACATGGTAGAATTTCATATCAGTTTGAGTGAGGGCAACTTGAGTCTCAAATCAGTGTTCTCATCTTAAGAAGAAATACAGCGAAGAAAGAGCTATCTAAAGTGAACTGAGAGAAAAGGAAATCCAAATGTGGAAAAGTCAATGAATGTCCTACAGCAGACATTTAAGCAGCTATTTCACCAAAACCTTACTCTGGTCAAAAAAAGGACTGAGAATGATAAAGCACCCTTGGTTGATAAAGGTGATCAAGGAGACTATGCAGTCAAAAACTAAAACAGTAATAGCCAGCTGTAGGCCAGAAGACTTGGTACTTTTTAACAAAAAAATAAATTCCAACAGCCAGTGACTAAAAAGCTAATAAACAGCAAAAAGGAGGAAATTTGTAAAAGGAAGTACATTGACAAAAAATATAGACCAAACAGCTTCTATGAGTTTATAAAAGAAAATAGCTAAAGTAAGTGTAAGATCCTTAAGAGGACGCAGCTATGGAATTAATACCAGGAACAGGGAAATAACAGCTAACATAAACCAATGTTTTCCATTGATCTTCTTGTTAGAGGGCACTAAATATCCCAGAGTTATCACATAAGCATGGTGCGAGTGTGTAGGTGT